TTGATGAAGAGTTTCAGAGACTAATGAGAGATCCACCAAAATGTAACCATCATGTCACTCTCAATAGTAATACTAAAGATGATCATAATGGTGATGGTAACAATGATGATGGAGGTCAAAATGATGATTATGATGATGGTAGTGGTGGTGGTGGTGGTAGTTGTGGAGATGGTGATAGTGCAGGTGGTGATGGAGGTACGGAGACTCAAAGTCCACATGCAGGTATATTCACTGTAGAGGAAGGATTTACACATACCATACAAGAAGAGGATCATGGCTCTCAACGAATGCTTCAATATGAACAATGCTCAAGTCGAGATCGTCAAGGCGCGCGTACTCAAAATCCGATCACTCAACATCGTATGCAAGCTATTATGCATGGAGTTGATATGATTAATGATGGTTTTTCTACTATGGGTGTAAGTAGAAATAAAAGTGAACACCATAATTATGGTTCATCGTCTTCGTATGGTTATGATTCTGGATGTAACATTTCCTTATATGATTATGGATCGAGGTATGACTCACGAGAATACGAATATGGATCAACATATAGTTATGGATTTAGCCATGATTGTCGGACATCCTCCTCATAGACAAGACGAAGGTTGGGTAAGGACTGGAGCATTCGTTTACCAGTAGATTGGATATATTGTTGCAAACTATCAGAGGTTCAGGACAAAATATGATTTATATTATCGTAATTATATGAGTTGGACTAACTATTGTTGTCATATTTATACCACATATGGAGTTCCTTTAAGTGACTATCCAAAGCCTGCACTGATTTATGAGTTTACTCGACACTCCACAATAGGATGAATGTAGTTATGTAGTTATGTGCTCATTAGCACTTCATTTGTATTATGAGACCTTAACATTATGTAAAAAAGTGTTTGTTTGATGAAAATCAAGTATTTGAAATTAATTGAAGTGATTTCCGTCTCATGTCAAGCCTTTTTCCCCTCCAACTTGATGTTATCTTGTATCAATGGATGTTAACCTAATAAACATGCTCAATTAATCAATTATTAAGCTTATCTTTATAAATAAATGAATTATATTTTTGTTTCCACGTGTTTCCATATTTTTTCTGTATTTTCATTACTTTTCGAAACGTTTCCAATTTTAAGCATACCGAAATGGTACTCTGAAATGATATTTTGCTCCTTGACAATGGACTCCACAAAATTAATCAATTACAATATGTGATCTAACAAATTGTTTGGGTTGGTTCTTATTAGGCGAGATGGGTTGGTTCTGAGTCGATCCTAAGGAAATACGATCGGATCAAATCCAACTTGTAAAAACCAAAAAATTGATTTTCTTGTTATGTTGCAATGGAAAACTGGTTCAAAGCTTTTCAACCCTAGTAGCATGAGTCCAAAAACTTCTTGTACATGAACTGCACGGAAACCCTTGGTACGACACTAGCTAGTGACAACAATCAAAGAGGACTATTGATGATGATGAAACAACTATTTCAATTTCCTTTTTCTTTTCAATGCATCTATTTTAGATTCGATAGCATGCCTCACACATAACTTATCCAAAGCATCGAAGCTGGCAAAGTTAGCAATCATCTGCAACGGCTGCTAGGACGATCTGGATTTGGTAATTTGATCAATGAGTTTAGAAGATTGTCAATGAGAAGTAGAAATTAGGAGAAACAACAAGAAGCTCTGAGATGGATCAATATTTTGCTTTGATACCAATTTATGAAGGACCAGAGGAGGAGGAGAAAGAAAGGAGTTATAAAACTCTCACTGAATGATGAGATAATATAGATTTTAGAATAAATTATATTGACACCCCTTGATGTTTCATAAGTGTCATAGAGACCGCAATTGGAAAATTAAAGGGATTCGCTTTGACTTACCCGTAAGGGTAGTCAAATGAGAGTCAATAATTCCAAAGTCATGAAATTGCATGTCTAAAATATCTAGAATAGATTTGATATATGGAAAAAAATCTAAAGCCGTGATTAAATGTTATAGACACCTATTTAGAGAATATTTATTTGACTAGGAGTGTTTACTAATTTTAATAGAAAACTCTAATTAGGAAATTACCTATTTTGATAGGAAGTTTGATCTATTAATATTGATGTAATCCTTCTTATTTCACTAGAGTGATATTAATGAAATTGTTCCTTTGTGGAGAATTTATGTTTCTTGATCTCACTTTTCTTCCGACATAAAGATAATATTATTGTAAGGAAAACTCTATTATCTCATTATTTTGTGGGCATATCTCACTTCTCTTTCAGCATACTATTGCCGGAAGGAATAGCATAGGCGTAGGCCTTACCTTGCACTTTGTGCCGAGCTCTAGACAAGTAACTAAATTTCATTTCGAAACGGTCAAAACATTTCTGTTTCCATAGAAACCGAAACTAATCATTGATTGAATATCAAAATTCCTATGTTTAAAGGTGTTTCGATAGGTTTCAAGGTGTTTCAGCATGTTTCGACCAATATTTTGATATGTTTCAAAACGTTACAATAACGTTTTTTTTCCAAGATCACCGGAACTATGCATCGAAATAAAATTTTTATCCTTGGCTCCAGGTGAACTTATTCCTAGTGTCCATAAGAATCCTACCCCTGTACCTAGACCTCAAATCACCTAAACAATCTCAAAGGAAAAGCATATGCAAAACCCTTCTTCTAGCCAAAGATAAAATGACTTGGCATCATTTGCTCAACTTACAAACTGAGTGGGTCTCATTTAAGTATATTATATTTTGTCAACTTCCATATTGGTCACCGCTGACAAAAAAAAACTACTTACGACACTGACTTTGTATCTCTCCAAATCTTACCTCTTCAATAAGACTACCAAAGACCACCCCACAACAAAGTCATTCTCCTAATCCCCCTACACAGTTCCATCCAATGATAACTGGTGTTCAGACAAAGTTCACTTCCACTTGTCAACAAAATGTTTCCCTTTCCCAATTTCCAAAGAACCTCTTCATTCAATGCTAAATTCCAAAGCCTGTTTCTGCACATTGCTAATTGCTGTGGCCAAAGTTTTCATCTTGAATCCTTTAAGTGCAAAATTGCCTCAAAATACAGAAGCAAACATCATAAGCATAGCAGTTTCGCCTGCTCACTGCACAAACTGTAACACTCATCAGCTTCCAAACAAAAATCTATTTGCATGCCACCCCCCATCATCCTGGCCTCGATCTTTTTTAAAGCCTCCATTGCCATAATGAAACATGAACACAAACACCATCTTTACATCAAAATATCAATATTGGATACGATACTCACCGGATATTTATGGATACATATCAAAAACGCACCACACATATCCAATTATTACAAGATATTTCTTTATTTTTGGATACATCTTGAATATGGGTATCCAATATTAACATTCTTTGGATATGAAAACGAAAACACAAAGAAATATAAAATTTTCTATGTTAGTCTTTATCATTTCCACACAAATTCACATGCAATGATACACAAAGAAATCCATATGACTTTGAAGACACGGGGGAGTTTCTCAAGCATACTCCAATACCACATGTCAAAAGAATATCAAATGGGCTAACTACACCTATCTCTCAACAACAGCTACCCTTATAAGCAAATCAACGAGTAAAATGTTGGTATTCCTTTAATTGGTCATGTTCCCTTTGAGAGTATGCCATGATGAGAGAACCTATGCTTCATCGAAAGCAGAAAATTGTTTATTTTTCAAATTGGTATAAAAGAACATACTGAAAATTACATATGAAACCATCGTGAACTAGTAAAAATAACAAGTACAGTTTAGTTTAGATGTATCCAGCCATTATCTGTATCCTATTTTTCTTGTTTTGGTTATATCACTGCATCTATAACATAGCATCTTAGTATCATATATCCGTATCTATGTTTCTTAGATGAAAAGTGATAGAGGGTGCAATCCCTTTCTAAAGTCCCCTAAAACTATTGGAAATCCCTAAAGATAACCCAGTAACTAGAATTGAGAATCTCCCCACAGAAAATACAAGCCTCTATCCACTTCTTATATTTGGGCTAGAGCCCGTACTTTTTACCATAAAGCAAATGATGTCTTTGAAAAGAAAAGGAAGGGCTTAAAAATCAAAAACTTGTCTCCAAAAGGAAAAGATATGCAAAGTGTATAATCAGCAAACTAATCAACAATAAACAAGAATAGGACTTACTTAAATTTAAACTTGTTTTACAGGGTACAAGTAGCCTCACTTTTAAAACCAAACACATTTGGGAATACAAACACGCGAGGGAGAGAGGCGAGACGAGGGTGGGTTTCCATTTATTAAAGAAAATGACATTATTTATGAAAAGTTTCATAAGCATTTGTATCAACTATCACATCTGAAAATAATTAATAGTGAAGTCCTGCACTAGTAATAACTAGATTACATTATATTGTAATGTCACAATATCATTTAAAAATGAAACAAAAACTAATTAATAATTTATGAACTCTATCCTAGATAATGCAATAGGATTATCATTCTATATCCTACACCAGTTCTATAATGATATATCCAATGTTCTATGAGAGAACCTCCATATCTTCAACAGCAATAGCAACACTTATCGTAATTTCAAAGCATGTTTTGATATTAATAAATTAATTAAGCATTACATAATTACGAAATCATGGCTTTGTCAAGGGCATTCAACAGATAGAAAAGAACATGATAGCAGAACTCAATTTCTGTACATGTTTTAATAGCTCAAAGATAGTTATGAACTTATGACAGAGCGATAACACAAATTCGTTCCTCTCATTTGCATGGCTTCCACCTACAGTTCCTAACTCAACACAATAATTCATCTTAAAACACTGAAAATTTAAAACCATGTTATGGAGGAAGTAAAAAGCAATCATATCAATTCTTCACTATCCCAGTGCCCCTTTAGATTTTTAATAGCAAAGCTTTTTATAGAATACAATTGATGACCTCATCAAAAACATATTGAAGGATGAAAAATGAGTAGTGATACTCATCAGATGAAAGGACCAATCATCATTAGAGAATCCGTTGATGGAGAATACCTTCCCAACCGAGTAAAACTTGGCTGGTTGGATTTGGTTATGCCATGTCTAACAAAAAAAGAGAAAGAAGAAAAGGAAAAGGAGAGGGAGGGAGGGAGAACCTTGATGTTTTCACAGGATGATATACAATTTGTTATGTACATGTGTATGAATTCAGTGGGAAGTTCGACGGCCTGAGTAAGCCTGTTCACAACTTCCATCGAATGAAGACTCATGTCCATACTGACAAGTACTGTGAAGTATCTGCAGTCACCCAAAGAAAAATTCAGGTCAGAATATGTCCACGTTTGTGAAAAAGAGTAGTAAACAAATGAAACATGAACATACTCTGCAATTTCAGGCGAATTCACCAACTTAATGAGAACTTCAACTGCTATGACAGGATTGTTCTCCACCAGTTCCTGATAGCAAAACGTAAAAGCCTCTAAGAAGCATACATCCGTTATTATAAGAATCCAAAATAGAGTTGTAGAATTACTTACTGGTAGTTTTCTTGGTGTTAGTCCACAGTGATATACAAGCTTTGGGTCATTAGCCAGCTCCACCAAGAATTGCTGGAAAATCAAACACAAGAAAAATAAAATCAGCCAATAGATCTAATACGATCAAGTATCAACTTTCAACATGGAAGGCAAAGGCTTCCAAATTATTTGGAGGGACAAAATATATACTTCCAAAACAAAAAGTTTGATTCAGTACGAAATAATATGAAAGGAGAATTTTCACAAAAACTATCTCCCCATGGCATCTCACCCTAATTACCGGTAGAAAAAAAAATTTCTAATGGTTGAAATCTAAAAATCTTAGATTCTAGGTTTAGAGTGGAGAAGAGATGAGAGAGGAGAAAAGAAAATGAAGAGACTAGAAAATAAGCTTAAGGAGAATGAGAGTTAATCTATCTCTCCTCTCATCACCCATATTTATATTAACTCATAATAAATACAGATTACAATAATACTCTTAATTAAATAAAATGATATTCTACACTCCCCTTCAAGTTTGGAGCATAGATATCTTTCATGTCCAACTTGCATACATCTGAATGAAAAATTATACTATTAAACCCCTTAGTAAACACAATTAGCCTAAATAGGCTAATTGTTCCTTGACCGTCACAAAAGACATACAAATCAACCCATCATTTAACTTCTCTTTAATGCAGTGTTTGTCAATCTCAATCTGCTTTGTTCTGCCATGCTAAACTGAGTTATGAGCAATATTTATGGCAACCTTATTATGACAATACTAACGCATAAGTTCACCATTAGAGACACTCGAGTATTTTGTTAAGATTTTCGGCCACATAAACTCATAAATACCATGAGACATAGCCATGTATTCTGTATCTATACTAGATCTAACCACCACTACTTTCTTCTTACTCGCCAAATAACTAGATTTCCTCCAATAATGGTACAGTAACCTGTAGTAGACCTTCTATCCTTAATGATAAACTTTGGGATAAAGTTTTTTTTAAGGAGAATGAAATGTTATGTGCCTATTTTTATATATAATTTTAGATGTAGTTGTTAGTGGTTATTAAGTTAATGTGCTAGTGCGGTGATGCTAGTGGGTAGTTTTTTAGGTAGTTATTTAGATGGTGGGATGATGGGTATGGAAGTTATCTTTATGGCTATTTTTAATTTGTATGTAAAGAGCTCATTGTGAATGAAATGAAGAGGTTAAATGTGAGATAGACTTTATTATGAAAGGCTATATATATATTAAAAATGTGCACATAACATTTTTCCAATCTATATCTGTGAAAGTCTCTTAATCTCAAATTATCTTGCTTTGAAAACAATATTCCTTTATTTAGAGATGATTTGAGATACCTCAATATACGATGAACTGCCTCTTGAAGAGAAACTCGAGGAGCATGCATAAATTAAGTAACAACACTCACCACATATACTATGTCTTGGCGAGTGTAAAAAAGGTATATAAGTCTCCCAATAAGCCTCTAATATCTTTCTCTATCAACTTGATCATCTTCATCACTTCTCAATCTATGGTTTGTCTCAATAGGCCAGTGTACAAGTCTATAACCTAGCATGACAATTTCCTTTAAGAGATCAAAGATATAATTCCTCTGTGATATGAAAATGTATTTATCTAATCCGACCACTTCAATCCCTAGAAAATAGCATAAAAGCTCCAAATCCTTGATCTCAAATTCTTTCACGAGATAGACTTTCAATTTGGACACTTCCTCCATATCATCACCCGTGAGTATAATATCATCAACATATCTATAAGAACTAAGATCTTATCATTCCCTCATTTGATGAAGATCATGTGCTCTGTATGACTCTTCTTGTACCCAAACTTAATCATTGCCTTATAAAATCTATCAAACCAAGCTCTAGGAGACTGTTTTAGTCCATAAAAAGATTTTTTCAACTTACATATTTTTCCCTCTATAGCTAGAGAAGAAAAAACTAAAGGTATATCCATGTACACTGCATCCTCTAAGTTCAATGAAAGAATGCCTTCTTTACGTCCAGTTGTTGTAAATCACACCCCAAATTGACAGCACAAAGAAGGATGACACAAATGGATTAATCTTGCCATAGCAGCACATGTCTCTTAATAGTCAATGTCAATTGTCTGAGTAAACTCCTTAGCTACCATTATTGCTTTGTATCTATTCACTGTACCATCTACATTCTGCTTGACAATGAACACCCACTTACAACCTACTAATTTTGTCTCAAGTAGAAAAGACATAAGTTCTCAGGTTTCATTCTTTCTCAGAGCTCTCATTTTTGCTACCAATGTCTGTTGTCTACTTGGGTTTGCAAGGACTTCATTTCAACTATGAAGAAGAGATATAGAAGATAAAGACGAAACAAAAGCACAATAAGAGGAAGACAAAGAGTCATAAGAAACAAATTTAGAAATAAAATGTTAGGTACAAATTCGAACTTCTTTTTCAATAGCAAAAAGTAAAGAACTATCATCAACATAATTACTATAAAGAGGTTCATCTATTTTAATAAGATAGAAATGGCACACTCAGGTGACCACAATAAGGGTTGAGATTGATCTAAAAATTTGATCCAACAGTTTGTAAATTGCAATTATTTGTGCCAGATGAATGATCTAGATTAATCTAAAAATTTGATCCAACGGTGTACAATCATTTACCAAAAAATAAATTGCCGCCCATTTCTATCACTTCCATCCATCTATTGCGTGTCACTAACCCAATCCATCTCTGTCATCCCCTTCTCTTTGGTCCCCCCATTTTTTTCTTTCATCTATCCTATGTCCCATGTTATTCTCTCCACTGACCCTCACTCTCCATCGTCCCTCTGCCTTCTCCATTCCGACAACATACATTGACAGCAAATCTCTCTACGGTCTCTCTCTTCTCTTCTCAATTTTCCTCCACTTGCAACCCCTTTCACATAATCACACACGTCTCAAACACAGTCCCTACAACATGCCCATACATAGAACAAATACACAGAATACATACATCCACAACACACACACACAACATACACACACGGAGCACAACACAATAGACACACCCAAGCACAACACAACACAGAAGGCACACACACGCACACATCATAGTACACAGACACATATTTTTTTTTTTTTAGTATTGTAGGTTCTTTAAGATGAGTTTTGCTCAGAATGTTGACTATCAGATTTTTTCTGATGTTGGATCTCTACCACTTGAAAATTTAGGTAGTATTTGCTTCTCTCAGTATCTCTATCTTTGTTTTTTATTGTTCTTTTTCGATAATGTTTCAGATGAATAGTTGTGTTCTTTAAATTGGGTTTTCCCTTATATTTGTTTTTGTGCATGTATATGTGTTCTAAGTTGGGAACTTTGGGTTTTTGTATGTTATGAATTGCGTATTCTCTGTGTGTTTATATTTTCAACGAGGTGGTTTGCCTCTCGCTTTCTATGTATGTGTGTGTGGGGTGTGTAAGAGAGTTTTGAATTGGGTGTTTTGTTTGTATATGTTCACCTTTTAAATTGAGTTTGTGTGAGTGTATATGTTGTGATTATATATTTTGAGGTCAATTTAGATGAATATTAGGAGCATTTGTGAGGGTAGCTTAGCTGGTGAATTAAACTATCTTTTTCCTAAACTTTTTAGAAGATTTTACTGATTAGCTTGATGGCTTTCAATATGTGATTATAATGCTTAATGTATGTGTGGTTGGTGCCTATAAGTATCTAACTACTAATGATCATTCAAAGTTTTGAATAAAGAATTCCTACTTTAAGTTTGAGTTGAAAGTCATGGAATTTAAATCGTACATGTGTTGATAGTTAGTAGTTTCATTAATTTTTTAGCAATGCTATTGGGACATAATTTGGAGACTTAATAATTGTAGTCATTAGATTGTCAGTGGGTCCCAACATTAAATTATCACTGGATCCTAACACTATCAATTCAATGATCATAATGCATTAAGTCCCCAAATTATTTCCCTAAATTATATCTCAATAGCATTAGTGTTAATTTTTTTCAAGTTTGTGTTAGTTATATTTGTTGGGTTGATTAGTTTTGAAAAAAGTGACCAAATGATGATTAGTATATTGTGGCATGATAGTGATTCATGTAATTGGTTTGGGTTGTGTGTTTTTTATAATTTTTTTCAATAATAAACTTGCATGTACCACTTACTTGGGTTTTGAGGTATGGTTATCAAAACATAGAGACTGTGTGCTCAGATTAATTTTGTTTTGGTCATTTTTTTTTGAGGAAATTCGATCAATTGCTTTTAGAAAATAGTCGACAAGATTGATTTCAAATTGTGTAATTATAGAAAATGAAAGAAAAATAAACCGATTCGCAATTTTTCTGTGTTTTACAATGCCTTTAGGCTCAGGTTATTATTAGTTACCTAATATAGGGGAAGAGATCTCAAGAGATGATAATTCACTTTAGTGGCTCACAGGTGGTGATATACTTAGCTTGTCGTGAGTATAGCATCGCAGATCATTCCTATGTAATGTTCCACGAGTAGTCTGCTCCCCTCAAACAGGTGTTTCTCCCTAAGGCTTCCCCCAGCTAGATTTTTTGTCCTTGACTCGAGCACTAATTGGGAGATAAGAGAATAAATACATCCTCTAACATCTCTTCTTCAATACACTACTCCCCATGAATAGATGGTGGAGGAGTAGAGAAATACGGCTCTGTCTCATGGAATGTGACATTCATACTAACATACATAACATTTATACCCGTTCTGGATAGCAGAGTAGCCAATAAAGACACAATGCAACGCCTTTGGATCTAATTTTTCCTTCGTCCTTCGATAATCTTGTACAAAACACTAACAACCAAACACCTTTGAGCAAATAGAGTAAAGAGAATCTGTCATATGGTTAGTGGCTCTGGAATCGATAATCCAAAGATTAGAGGAACAAGACACAGTAAAAGTGCTGGCATGTATACTTGTGTGAGCAAAGTTGAAAATAGCATAAGTGCAAGTAGATGTAGAAGAAGTATCAAGATAGGCCATCAGACGCGTGAGAACCTACATCTCATCAACAATAAAA